TGCCGTTTTTCTAACTCCCTTCATTTATCGAATACCTACTAGATAGCAAATTTTTTTTTTCTTTTTGTTTCTGAAAAGCCAGACTTCGAAACATGCAGCAAATGCTTTTAGATTAGGCCTTAGGGACGGATGCAGGGGGGATTGGACCGTGCCCATGTCATTTTTTTAGCGTAAAAAAAAGTTTTTTGTGTAATTTTTTTTTAGTCCGGCTTGTAATCGGGTCTTGGATCCATTCTTGTTTTAAATGCTTTTATTTCTTTAAAAAACTCAAGTCATCGTCTCATTTTATGCGTTTGGCAGGGTTTTGCCTGTCTTCAAGGTGGCATCGCAATGTCGAGTATGGGTCGACCGATCTCCTACGAGAGAGCAGTAGCATGGAAAGTGTTGGACGAAGGCGAAAATGCTCACTGCCTATGCTTCATGTTCATCAATTGGTCTTTTGTCTGACCTTAAACATCATGTTAGAATTCAAGGAAAACTAAATTATTCATCACATTTGACCCCCTTCTATGAATTGGCCTGTACTCCCCAGAATTTGTCTTAGCATACAATTTTCTTTGTTTATCCTCAACTCTTGAAGTCGATGAAAACGAGGTTTTTGAAAGTAGTTTGGCCCTATTAATTTTATAAAATGTCTTGAATTTGAAACTAGCTTTCTTTAGTTGCTTAAGTCGCATAAATTGTCTTTAGTAGCTTAAGTTGCATAAATTGTCTTTGGCCCGTCTCTAGTGACGGACCCAGAAAATGAACTCACCTAGGATATCTTTTACGAAATACGAGATATAGGGATAACTATAAGAAGAATAAGTAAAATGTACGTTTTGAAAATATAATTCATGTATGTTATCGGTGTAATATCTCTAACACCAGAGTCCTAATTGAAATTCTAGCTGCCAAGAGAAAGCCACCAATCAATCCTTGCCTTACTAATCTTTAACTTAAGGAAAAAAAACCACTTTATTGCTTTAAGTAAAGTGAGGATTTATAACATATATGGATGGAGATCGATGCAAATGTATCAAAGAATGCAAAAACAAAACATCTTTTTCCCTTACTCATATTTATTTCATTACTTATTAGGTGGATTTATTAATTGTTCGAATCACTCTTGCCTTGGATATGAAAACCAATATCTTAATCATGATCCATTAAGTATGTGCATTAATTATTAAACCACAAATAATAGCTGTAATATAACCATTTTTGCAATTTTAATGTCCAAAATGTTCTTGATATCAGAACATTGCAAATATTTTGACGCCGGACAGAATAGTGATTATTCTGTAGGCTGGAACCAATTGACAAATACAGAGAAGAACGCAAGAGAAATACCAAGAGAAACGAGAAAATTCTTTATTATTCAACAACTGAACGAAAATAACCCATAAGCCGGGTTAAATAGCTAGAAAATATTAATTATCAGAATTTTGCCAAAAATTGCAAAATTCTATTATTTATACCAAAATGAAATACGTAATGAAAGGAAGAAGATCCCAAAAATCTGGCTAAATTTGAGATCGTAATATATGTCAAAAAGGAAATCGAAATAGTACTAAAAATGGCAAAAAATAACTTAAATTAATGATTCGGACGGGAAAACAGCTGAATTTGACCTCGAAACCGATGCACACCGAGCATAGCTGGGTGCCCACGACGTGCGCGCCGAAAAGAGCTTTC